TGTCTAGGCTTGGGCAACCTGGCAGTATTCCAGCCCTCGTGCTTCCTTCGGGTGGCATGACAGCTAGGCACCGGAAAGGTGTTACAGCTGAACGCTTTCTTTCTTTCTTTTCTTATTGCTGATAGTAAAAGATACGCTTCTTATCCAGCTTTCATTCAATCGACACCGAAAAGCACTGTACAGCTGTTTCATCCATGTCAATGCACCAGAACACGTCTACATGGACATCTGCGCGTGGCCTCCATATTGATTGTGGTTTGCCAACCACGCGCAGGCGTCCAGTGGCTCAACTGACGTTAACGGCAAATCTGATTCCGACTCCAACTACCCGGATTATTATTGGTGTTTAGAATTTGCAGAATATGCGTCGTGTGTTTGTATGTGTACGCGCGAAAAGCGACGGACATACCCTGATCATCATCATCACCATTGACAGCATGACATCAGTGTTCAACACCGACGCTTCACTACCGTACCAATTCATGGTTGTACGTGGGCTGGGATACTGCCAGGGCGCCCACACCTAGACAGGAGGACGATTAGGGTCCTCAACCAAAGCCTTTGGCTCAAAAGCCTAACCGCAAGGCAGCGGTGTTTGGCGGGGAAATGCAAATGCATAACCTTTTCTACGGAACAAGTCGCCATACGTGTTGCAACCCCCAACCTGGAGGGTCAGGAGACTGTGTTCGTCAGACCTCTAACCATTGACCAACCTGGTATGAGAGACTCTGTGAGTGTCGCGCGGACACCCCCCAGTATAGCTCAATGGGTCGCCGAGGTACACAAACCGTCACACCACGATAAGGTCCAGTCTCTTCGTGACGGCCACGGAGAAGCACAGCCGAAATCGATTCATAATCTGGGTAGCCCATTGACCCGTCTGACTTAGTGTAACCCAGGTTTGCCCTCGAAACGAGCGGCGTAGAGTTGATCGAAGGCTCTGGCCTTGGTGAGCTGTACACTTGTTGTCTGATTGATTGTGTCACTTTTGGACACACTTGTGATCAACGGCGCCTCTTTTCCACCGTTTTAGACCGACTGTATTGCAGCATAATCGACAGCCGATGATGCTCTGCTATCCACAGGTTCTATGTGGACGTATATCACGATTATTACCTTCAGTGAACAAGATCTCGAAATACGCACTCATTAGCATTGTGTTCCAACCCCCTGCCTCTTTTCTTTCAGCCAAATCCGAAATGGCTCGAAATACAAGAATTTCATATCTACGACACTTGCTCACCCAAGTATGGATCAGTTTTCTCGACAACCAGGTTTGTATTGTTTCTACTCAGTCTAAGCGCCACTGATAGACTAATAGAGTACACTGTTGTTGTCCTACTGGCACTCTGTGTTAGCACCATTTCTCTTGGCTGAAACGGGAGGTTCGGGATGATATTTACGTTCACTTAAAGTTTCTTTGTCCTGTCTAGTCAAGCTTATTACGGCTACCGACATCAAATTCCGGACTTGCTTTCCGCCTCACTCGTACCTCATCAGTGTCATATGACCTTGTCACCGTTAGTCTACAAGCCGACGATGGTTGTACCTGAATTCTCACGTCTGGACAGGCATTTGTACTGTGACTGGTTTTACTCGTCGCCTCCAACGATGATAATCAAATGAAGGTTACGCACACAGCGCGTGTTCATGGATAGCGCTTCCTGGATTTGTCAGGTCCAGCGAGTAAGATTTTTTGGTTTACGTAGACATAAAAACAATAGTTCACACGAAGTGCCTCATTACCAGGTTATCCCTCTCGAAATATCAACCAAATGTAGCCTACAAGCTAATCGTGCACGGAACAATGTCAATCACTTATCTTTTCTGAGGAATGCAACTGTAGACGAATCGTTGCACCTGGCGAGCGGTGGTCTGAGTGCCAGCGGTTCAGCTGTTCCTTTTTGGGGCTCAGTGATTAGAGCGCGAATTTACAGACCGGAAGACCCGTGATTCGAACCTGATCTCTGCATCTCGACGTTCCCGGTCTGGGTTTGGGTAACCTGACAGTATCCCAGTCCCCGTGCTTCCTTCGAGTGGCGTGATTGCTAGGCACCGAACGATTTCCTCGGAACTGTACAGTTTTGCACATTATTATGAGTTCCGTACAGAAGCACGTCAGTATCGTGGAAATCGACAATCGTTCTCTGCCACACTTCCCCTATATCGTTTGAAGGTTTGATGTAGACCTTGCAGCTGCCCTGATTCTCAATACTTACGTAGCTTAAGGACTTTACGGCGATCACGTGGTTCTTCTTTGCTTATGCCTAAGACTCCGTATAAATTGTACCAATTTGTATTATAAAACCATTCCGTGTAGTTCCTCGAACTGCAATGAAAAATGTGCACTTTTATGTGAATGTAATAGATATTCCTGACGGAACACTCTACTCATAAGGCTGTTGACAACTTTTCGACATCCTACGACTGGTTCCACCCTTCTGAGGTATCATTAGCTAGGCGTTCGCCCCGAATTTTCACTAACCTCATATTCTGCATAAACACCAATTGGTGATTAAGTTGGTGGTAACTGGACACTCAACTGAATACCACCTGAAACTCTGGTTCATGTTGTTGTCCAACTTAATGTGCTGCACACAGTCTCCTCATGTTTCAGTTGGCGTGATATTTGAGACACCGAACGGGTTTTTCCTTGACATAGCACCATTTGTAAAGTCGTTGAAAATTACTCAGCAGCCCGTTGCTGCTTTCGCTCTTCCAAACCTTCTCACCGAGTTCTGGTTAATCGCATTTCGTGGTTAAACACCAAATTGAGCATACATGGAGATAAACACTCATTCAGGTCAGCGCAGAATGGCAATATGTGACAACGTGCCAATCAGATCATACGTCAAAATGTGACGCTAGGCAATTTAGATGCCGAATTAATGTTCATGTTTCCAATACGGACAGAAAATTCAACATTCTCATGTGTGCCTGCCGTCGTATATTTGGGAACGTAAAGCGACGAATCTCATTTGACGGCGAACTGCTGGGGTAGCGAATTAGGAGACTGACAACCGGAAGAGTGGCTAGTCGCTGGTCAATTGCCAATTGCGAAAACAGGTCGTAGCAAGGAAACAGTGGGGAACCATCACCATGGACTCATCATCCTTGTCAACTGCCAAACAGTCTGTGAGCCCCACGAATGAGCATTTTCGGAAAATGAACGACCAACTGTCCCATGACGATTTTTTCCTCCTTGAAAGAGAAACCAATTTGGAACCTGCCTCCCATCGTTCAAGAAAATGCGAGTGTGTGAGCGTTTCCAGTTGCCTTTATCAGTAACCAGTGGAAATCTTCTCTTGTATCTGAGTGCGTACTCTAAATATCTAATGCGTGAAGAGGTCGTTGGCTCGAAATGCTGTTTTCTCAGGTGTGGAAGGAGTACTATGCATGTTTGTTGTTTTGATGACATTTGCTTGTTGATTGCAAGTCCATCCTTCCATATTTCACTTCGGTTCCATCGGCGGTGTAGTCATGTCGTTTCGAGCGCGCATCTTTTGCACCACTGGTCTCATCTCGACAGTGTACTTTCTCGAATGACGATGCTGGTACTATTGCGTCTGAAACGTCTTAACATTTTCTCCGCCTGTCTAGAAGAACTAGCTGACACTCAGTTTTAGCCCAGTTTCGTCCATCCCTCACATCGTTACGTGAGTTATCGGTTGTTCACAATTTTCTAGAGATAACTTCACTTTTGTGGAGGCAATTGTCTACGATAAGACCACAGGTCAGCGTTGATCGGACCTCCCGCGGAGAATTGGGGTCGATAGTGGGCGTCAAGTCTGATGTCTCCGTTCATTTTCACTTCTGATCCACTTCGTTCTAATCGTGACTTATACAACAATTGTAATGTTTATAACCATCCCCCCGTGAACTCCTATTTTTACTTTGGCCAGCTTCCAGATGAACTGATGTTGAAAGCACTTCGTTTGCTGGGCGATGATCACATCGGTCGTCTAAGTGATGCTCGACAGCTGGCGGACTATGTGATTCCGGTTTTCGATTTGCCTGCCACTGGTGACGCCGTCCAGTCGGACAATGATCTGTTCGTCCCGCCCTCCTGGTCACGAGCGGTTAGCCGTGCTGTGTTAGCGCTCGTTCACAAGGGAGGATTGAACTACCCGAGACTTTACCCCAGGCTGTATGAGCTTCTGGATGACAGTCTACTTCACTGTCCGGAAGCAGAGCGTTTTTTGTTGGATCTGGACCTGTATCTGAGTTCGCTGTAAGCACTGTTGCGATTTTGTTGTTGTGGTTTTTCATGCCCTCTGTTTTTCATTGTTTTTTCTCAATCCCACTTTATTCTGCGGATTTTACAAACGGGTAATGCGGCCCTTTTTACTTGTTTTCATAAGTCAAGCACTTTAATGATTTATCAGTTGTGGTGATTTGCGTCGAAAGGTACTAAGTACTTTAATGCTTACTGATCTTGTCACGTTGATTATACACTCACTTTTCTTACCATCCCAGTGAGACGAAAGACAAGCGTATCATTTTGGCGTGACCATTTCTGCTTATCCCTTCAAATATTTACATTGATCAAGTTGAGTCTACACCGGATCCAATATTCGGGTTCACAACTGTAATGTTCTTCCGAGGCAATCTCAAAAGTAGTCACAGAAGTTCTCTCACCAACAACAATGGCTGTTGAAAGATGATATGTGGTTCTGATAACGGCGCCGTTGCCCTGTCACTTCTTTGGCTCTTTCCCCTTTGTATGGCTTCTACTTTGACAGGTGCATTGCTCGGTAGAAAAATCATCGAAAATCTATATACATTTCGTAATATAGCCGAGGCCCAGCGTGCTGTCTGTGGTACAACTTGCATGTCTTCATAGAGTCCTTCAGAGCTCAACAGATATTCAGTTTGTGACAAGAGTTTATGTAAACCGTGTAGCGCATTTGTGAGTAACTGTGAAGGAATTTTCAATCACAGAACGGGAGATTTAGACTGAAATTGGCTTACATGACGAGTTAACAGTCATGACCCCCTGATTGACACTTCATGAATGCGTGGGTAGAAGCGGTTTTCTCGAGCAAAATGACAGGTAATTCTAATGATGACTATAGCGCTACAGGACAGGTGGCACTCTTGTGTATATAGCGTTTCAATCGATTTCCATGAATTCCAAGCAGGATAACACGAAACTGGATTGTGGAGGTACTGGTAGAATCTTTCCCACCCTTGTTGCACCTGGCTTCACAAAACCAAGCATTCTCATCTTGACCTGATGATGAATCAATACACAAGTCACGTGTATCACGCTCTGGAGACTCTCAACAACTTATTCCGCTCGGGATTATAAGAACTCATTCGTGTGAGATGACTGCTGTGGTACAATAGCTACCTGAGTAGATCTGGTAGGAACCATTCGTTTGTAGTTAGTTGGGGATAGAGTGTATGTGAATAGTGGCTTTGCTCTCGTCTTTCCCCAATCCGTTTTGCAATGGACTAGGGGAATTTCCGTTTGGCCACATTATATTCCGAAGATTTCAGTGTTGCTAAGCCGATGCTACTGTGTCGTTGACCAGGTGCTGTCGGCGATATTTTTATTCGTTTACTGAGTTTTTCTGGGCCGTTATGGTGGGTTGGTATCGGTTTCCAGTCTGTCACATTAAATTACACATAGTGAGTATTTCGTATCCACTCGAACGCCCTGTACGCGCTGTAAAGTCGAGTGAAAAGGACAGGAGGGTGAAGAGAAGGGGACAGCCATCATCAGAACTAGCGACCCACAGTGCATGGAAAGAGGCGTCTGGCAGCTCGTGTTACTCGGGAAGCGCATCCGAGTACATATGGAACCTATTGTGAATTACTGAAAGTCACTGTACATTTTGTCGGACTCATACACTTAAATTCTGGCTTTAGCTTGTGTTCGGGACGGACGAAGCTAAATAAAATGTATCAATCCCGCGCTGTGCTAGTGAAATGTTTTGCGCAATAAGTGCGATTCAAAATATCTTTTGAGACCAATCAGAAAGAGCCACTCAATCTTTATTATCGGTTCGTTTCATTGGTTGGTTGAATTCTGTGGTTCAGCTTAAGTTCTAGGAGAGTAATAGATGAGCTCGATATGGCTCGGTGGTTAGGGCGCGAAATTACCGACCAGAAGGTCCTCCGTTCATACCGAACGTCCGCGTATTGACTGACCTTGTCTAGACAGTATCCCAGCTCTCGTGCTCCCTTCTGGTAGCCTGGCAGCCTTTTAAGAACCACCGTCCAGGTACAACATATCCTGACTCATGTATTGTGTTTGTGTGCCCGTCTTGCGGACGATTGGTCACTTGGGTAGATATATAACTTGTTGGCCTGTTGGCATTTGCAAAACAGTTGGAAAGGGTGGCAGACAAGCTAACAACTTGTGTTTAGGGTGATGTCCATACTCAGGGATTTTATTAAGTTTTCACACATCGCTGCTTGTTTTTGTCCACTCACCATGATCAAATAACCACATTGAGAGGTTAACAAACCTGCTCGCCTCAACAATGGTTTGATTGTAGCCATATAATTCATGATCGGAAAACGGTAAAGTGGTCAGATCATTTGCATTTGGAAGAACGAATGATAAACGTACGATGGATCCCTTGAGCTGATGTATCTGTAGTTGTTGACGCTATCGTGACCAGAACTCAAAGATGTTGACTTCTGTGAAAAAGGGAGACATTTTCATGGTAGACGAACAAAATCCAAGCTATAAAATTGTCCCTTTTTCGTACACTCAGACACAAACAGTTCCTGATTTTACAACATTCTGATCCCCATTTTTATTTCGTTTTTTCTATTCACGCTAGACACTTGGCTGTTGGTGTTGTAGCTGCGTTTATCAAACGTCTATCTCAGTTGGCTCTCATAGCCCCAATGCGCTTGACTCCAGCGTTTCTGCTTCTCATTCACAACGCGCTAAAACGACATCCGAAGTGCGGTATTTTGGTTAATCGGACGAGACGTCACCCGCAACCGGAAACAGGCAAGGTACGTCCCTCATCTAGGGATATTTTTCACTTAGGACGTTGTAGAGCAAAGTTGGCTCTTTTGGCCACATTCTGATCAAATAACGCTTCAGTTGGTAGCCACCATTCCAGGGAAAAATGCAGTTCACCGATTACCGTAATGTTTCTGTTCTGTACGCATTTAAATTGGATAGTTTACTTGGGGGAGTGGAAGTAACCGTATCAGTTAATTTTCCCCATTTTGTCTTGTAATGCCCACATGTACGTTTAACACCACTTTTTACTGATACAGAGGCAGGCTTTTTTGGGGCGCGTCTTCCTTATTGATTTTACGTGGACGATGAAGTAGTCAACCCTCCTTCCGTTCATTGTTCGTTCCCACTGACTAATATATTACTCTTTGTTCCACCCCGAAAGCCATGTGTTGGAGATCCTTATCGATGGAATGCGAACAACCTGGAATCTTCTGGTGCAATGGAAAGCAGTCTTTGGGAAGTTGCCAGCCTGACACACCACCATTCTAGCCTGATTAGCTCTCTAGCCCGGGATATTTGTCATCCGAACCCAGAAAGTGTGATTGTGGATTCGACATCCCCTTCCACGTTGATCCGGCAGCAGATTTTGGTGAGTAGTTTATACTATCGGAGAAGATCCGCTGTTTGTGCCATTGGGACAGGTTTGTGGGACCAGTCCATCCAATGATAGATATCTTCGACGGGACTTTTCAACCTTAGTGCATCCACAAAAAAGCAATGCTCGCCTAGCTTCTCTGCATAATCCTTTTTTTCGTTTTCTGTTACCGTGCACGACACGCAAAGTCTGTGATTAAATATCGGGGCTTCGTGGCCCAAAGTGACAGCTTAGTGTGAACGCCAGCTGTGGAGACCAGTACATGGTCGCTCTCCTGGAGCGGACACCACCTAACAAAGAACTTTTCGCTTCTTCTTTGGAACTGATGCGAATCCTTGTGTGCTCAGGCGTTATTTCGAACGTAAATTCGAATTACACCTGGTAGCTTCGAACGCTCCTCGTTTGCGTTCGTTTTCGGACGATTCCCGTCTATTTTCGGATTCACGAAATCCCAATATTTGGAGTTCGGACATTCTTGCCTTTTTCTCGTTCTTACTCATCATCGTTGATAGCAACACGCCAGTCGTAAATACTAATGTTTACGAATGTCTCACAACCATGAGGATTAATACCCTAGCGAAGAGCTGGAGGAATGTGGGAAGAGTGGAGAATTAGTACAAACTGCCGTATATCTCCACGACAAGCTACCAAGAGCACGGTGCCCATACTCCGAAACCACAACTCAATTAGAAACTACTGTTTCTCTCTAAGTAGTTTGATAAAGTTGACGAATTGTGTTTGAGACAGGTGCAAACTCGTGATTCACTCCAAGTCTGATTGGATATTTCATTCTCGTAGATGCAGTTTGCAAATGTGTCATCAGTTAACACATGTCTACTCATCTAATCCTCACTCAGTATTGTCAACCTGCATATTTTCAACCAATTCGATTTTTTCCTGTGCTTCAGGATTTGACCGAAATTTCAGAGGATGTACACCGGAACCTATCGATTTTGTCAAAGTCAAATGCACAGATGCCCATGTTACAGGCACTTGACGGTTGGACCGTGTGACGTGACGTGACACGTAACACAACTTCCCTTGTACATGCTGCATAATTACAGAACTTTGTAAAAATTTATCTGCCATGCGATTGTACATCTTATGGCCTGGATGGCCACCACAGCTACAACACATTTCGCTATGAAACATGTGATCTCTGTTCAGTGCCCGGATTTGTTGATTGCCGTAGTTTTATGTTCGCTGCGATACGACGGTGAAGTGCATACTCACTTGCTCTTAGTTGTGGGTCATCTGGGAGCACATTGCAACTTGCAACATCTTCCAATTATGGTTTGAAATGAATCGGTCGAACTCGTCTAACATCAAACGATTCTCTATTATGAAAAAAAGTTTTGCTAGGCTGAAAAAACAAGTCGTTGCAGTTGCTTGTCCTCTGCGTCAATGAATTTGAATAAGGAATTCGGATCTTATGCGCATGATATGTTAATCTGCACCATTTTTGGACGAGAGTTTGTCAGTATTGATGTTCAGCAGCCTAAGGGGGGGTGGGAGTTGGAGAACAGTCGCGCGTCTTTGTGAGATCACAGATTTCGAAAGGACGTGAGCCAGCATGTGCAGTTTTTAAGACCCACTCTGGATGAGGCCACCGACAAAATTTCTGGAAATGAATTAGATCACTGTGTAGAAATTTCGGACAAGCGAACTTTTAATGCAAAATGCACCACGACTTAAGTTGATGTCAATGGGAGACTCAGGTAAACTTTTTCTGAATCCCTGATTGATGCTGAATACGTTGCACTGAGGTTGCTTCATCTTTCTGCTGTATTCAAGATATTGAAATATGTTTCAAAACTAGATGAGATGGTCCTTCACTGCTTTTATCGCATTTAAGATGAATGTCTTTTTTTATCAAGCTTTTCTTAAACGAGTGTCTTCCTTGTTCGAGCTTGCATACAGCAATAACCTGGGTGCCCACACTGGTGGGAATGTCCCCTTATTCAAGTATTCTGCATTTTATGAAACGGTATTTCGAACGTCAGTGCCTCACCAAGAGGCGCACCTTCGAATCGCTCAGAATCCCCACACTGATTGCTTATCACTGTATGATTATGGCTGACTGTTTGTTTCGTATGTTGCAATATGCAACATGATCATCCCAGGTGAGTACCTAGTTTAGTTGCAATCCTGGACTAGAAATCAAGGTAATCTGTGATCCATCTGATGAGAGATAGCTGCTTCTCCGATTGTCCATTTCAGAAACAGCGTCAAACCGGACATTGGTATGGGTTGCGGTTCTACATTCTGAGAGAGAAGTACGTAGTTAAATCAACCTAGTGGATGTTGTCTGGCACACGGACCGTTATGACTGGTTTACAGGATTTTTCAGTCGACAAACTTCGTCCTGCATATCAAGGGGACTGCACTAACCAGATATCTCTGAGTTCTCGTGAGATCGGGGTTTTGCAACTGCTCTCAAAGAGACTCAAGAATAATAGAGGCCTTATAGATCAGAACTTTGGTTTTGTGTCCAAAATGTAGCCTACACTATTAGGTAACTTCACTCATAGAAATTCCATTCTCATGTCATCCACACATTCTTTGTCGCTTGTAGGTAAGAAATGGGGGTGTCACCTTTTCATGCCTGCATGCATCGGAGTTTGGGGTGCTGTACTCTGATCTTGTGCTTTTGCGAGGCTCTATGAGTTGTCAGCGTGCGAAAATACGTTACTAACGCACTCAATGTATTGCTACTTCCAGGGACTTGCAACTTGTACTACTTTGCCACGCATGCTAGCGTTATCCATCTTCCATTCCATGGTATCGCTGGGAAATATTTGGACTGATGGGATAATCCCCTCCATAATTCAGCATTCATAACAACTCCAAGTGACTGTTCGACACGATCGCAGACTCGTCGAGACACTGCGATTTAATCTAACTGAACAGCTCAGCGGCCTGGCATCACAGTGCATTTCTCTCTAGTTTCTTTTTTCTTTCACCAAGTTTGAGAGTCAGTGTTCTTTTCCTCCACTTTGTGTGATCAGTGATATCTAAGACAGTATTGTCTCCGTTTGGTTTTCCTGTAGTGTTCCGGTTGTCCTTTCCAGTTACATTTCGTTTGCTTTTTTTTCTTCACTAACTCACATTGTTCGTATTATGCAACGCGTTTTCACGCGATCTACTGTCATCTCTATCAGGTGGTAACCTAAGACACCAATCTTTCAGATGTTTCCAGATGACCTCACCTCGCACTCTTTTCTATTCTGACATTCCCTCAGCTAGACATTTTATCTAATCTTTGACTGTTTTAAATATCTAGGAGTAGTTTTCTCACCTTCACTTGGGCGGCCCTGAAGAAAAAGAATACTCGTTTCCTACTGATTGCTATGCCTCTTTGCCTCTTCCCAACTTATGTGTGACTCGTTTTTTGAAATATGACACCGTCAGAGGTGTCATACTCGAACCAAAAGAAACCCAAATGCAAAACAACAACTTTTGAGCGTAGAAAGTGTCACTGTTTAAAAGCTGTCAAATAACGACAAGTTTTAGTTGCAATACTGTAAAATTCAAAGCGAGGCCTAACTGTCCTGAAGCTTCCAGCTGACTCCTCCCTGTTCCACACTGCTTAGATCCACAGAGTATCGGAGTTTCGCAACTGCTCTCAAAGAGACTCTACTGTCATTTCTATCAGAAGGTAACTTAAGACACCAATCTTTCAGATGTTCCCAGATGACCTCACCTCGCACTCTTTTCTATTCTGACATTCCCTCAGCTAGACATTTTATCTAATCTTTGACTGTTTTAAATATCTAGGAGTAGTTTTCTCACCTTCACTTGGGCGGCCCTGAAGAAAAAGAATACTCGTTTCCTACTGATTGCTATGCCTCTTTGCCTCTTCCCAACTTATGTGTGACTCGTTTTTTGAAATATGACACCGTCAGAGGTGTCATACTCGAACCAAAAGAAACCCAAATGCAAAACAACAACTTTTGAGCGTAGAAAGTGTCACTGTTTAAAAGCTGTCAAATAACGACAAGTTTTAGTTGCAATACTGTAAAATTCAAAGCGAGGCCTAACTGTCCTGAAGCTTCCAGCTGACTCCTCCCTGTTCCACACTGCTTAGATCCACAGAGGTGAACTTTGTTTCAGGTTCTCCTTGTCCTGTCCTTGACCAGCTCGCACTGATTTCAGACTTAACACCTTCCACTTCTTGTTCTTGAGCTTCTAGTTCGGTTTGGCTATACGACCCAAACCCTAGCCATGGTTTTGGAGGATACACACAGCTAATTTTCAGTCCAGAGGATGTGCACTTCAGCACGGATCCGACTGTACTCAAGGAGCTCTGTAAATTACGAACGCAGTCATTTGGTGATAGCATCACATAGGACCCGATGAAGTATGGCCGCCTGTAGGGAAATGGAGTTAACGCATGAATCTTCGGAGGTGGTTAAGAATTCATACAGTGAGCCACATAAAACAAGACTGGTGTCATTTAGGTATACGATGCTGCCTTGGAATTCGTACAAACCTGAACGTGAAGAGGTTCGTGCTTTACGATTATTTTCTTATATCTTTCCAGTACTTCTCTCTTTACTATGGTCGGATCACGTTGTGTTACGGTCCAAAAAAGGAATCTAGCATAGAAACTCAGTTCCGGCCAAATGATATTGTCACTCTGTTCTCTAGACGTAATTGCTGCCATATTCATCCCGGAATATGTAAATGGAATAAATAGATGCATGTTGTATCGTGAGCTCTACAAATTTTGACCGTCAAAACAACGCAGTTTTTAGGAAGTTACAAACGATTGCGTAGTAACTACAGGACTCATTAGTTTTCGTTGTCAGATTGGCTTCTGTGAGTCTTAGTTCAAATGGACACTAAGCAGCTCGTCATGTTGATTATCTAGTGAAGTATCTGCGCATGTGATCCGAACTAGCTTTCCACACAATGGTGTTTTATGCGGTTTACGTGACACTGGGCGCAGGACAGCCCCTTTAGTTGTAATCCCTAGAAAGCATTATGCGATATTAAGCCACAGCTCTTGTCTGCGCAGTCAATCACATGAACACTACTCGATGTGAAGAAAGCAACCCATTCTAGTAGATATACCAGTATGCATACCTCGGCAGTATTTGCGATCTTTTGGTTTCCAAGACAAGACACTTCACCGGCCCTGTGAAATTGCTGTAAGAAAATGCCAACATAGTGCATCTCCCTTATTACGCCACCCCCCATTACGAAAATTTTGGCATTGTGTCTAACGGTGATGTATTGCTCAGCTGGAGATTGGACCAGAGACGAAGTCATGGAAGCCTTCAGTTCAAACCACTATGAGGTTACACTTAATTTAAAAAAAATTAAACTAACAGTATTATAAGAAAGGCACTGCTAGAAACTTCCATAAGAGGCATTAAGTTTCCACTTGGTCTCCTATGGTTCTTCTGAAACCATCGTTTTCTCATCAGACGACTCCGCTTCTCATTTGCTCATAGTGTGGGCTACAGACTCTTGACTGCTCAGCGCAAGCCTCACTAAGGGAGATGAGAATCATAGGTCAGCCATCAAGACACTACTCTAATGTCTTAGTATAGTACAGTGATATGAATTGCGTTGGTCTGTGAACTGGCGACTAATGGTCGTGTCTTGGCTTACTTCATATGAACAAATCTCAGTGTAATTCGCTCGAGCACCGAGGAAGTTTTGTAGTAAGAGTGGCGCAAGCTGTCAACCACTTGACTTTTATTGCGACCAAAGTTTTTATTAAGTGGGGGTCTTTTGTGGAGAAAGAGTACCTTATTTACAATGAAAACAGGGAATCTACACAGCCGTTTCTTCCCTGAAGATGTTTCTCCGATGAAAGCTTCTTATGCAGGTGGAGTACTGTAAAAATATTCAGGTCACGTGGTCAATAGTTACTTCCAATGGGCCCGGAGGCAGCCCTCACTGAAGTCGATCTTGGCCAAAGATATCTCATGAATGTCTGCCTGCTTTTGGTCAAGTAGGAGCATTTTACAAATGAGTGAATTACCCTGTCCGGGTGAAGCTGGTGTTTACACTAGCGAGGAGTTTTAGCAAACCTTGTGAGTAGTGTGTTACGTCTATACTAATATATCACTGAAAAATTAAAAATCGCGAAACGACGCTCGCAACGTCCTAAAATGTGTGTGGCACTATAAGTTCGACTAAGCGGTATCAAGCAGCTGGGGAAACTGAGAGAACACAACGAGATTCGGCTCTTCTGTTAACCTCATAAGAAGTGCTTTGCGTGACAAAAATGTACACAAATCATTTTCGCCAGCCAAAATATATTTGTGAGCATTTGCTTAAAATTATTATTTTGTTATTGTTTATTGTCTAGCGTCCAAGGTATTCGAACATCCATCCTCTGTCCTTATCATGCTTGGCTTCAAGGAATTTTCAAATTGTCATTCAACGCGTAGGAAAACGGAAATGTTGTTTTACACAGGTTAATTGGTGAATCACAACAAACTTTACTGAAGGGGATTATTTTCCCCCATTTTAGTATAATTGCAGCTGATCCTGTATGATTCACTTCTTCCTAATCGAGTCTTCACACAAAGACTTATCGTTCCCGGGCCTAATTTTGTGATTAAGAATTAAGGTAGCCCGTTTTGCATTTACAAAGCCCACGTTGTATACTGGTATTACGAAGTTGTGCTCGTTTAACGGTGTAGTCGGTCCGTCGACTGTTTATATCCGTTAGGATTCTGGAGTAATAAACATGATATTCCGGTGAAATGTGCTCAACGTTTAACACTAGAAGGGTTAGCAAAATATACTTCATAAAACCACAGAATGTCGGTTCGGGCAATTTGCCTCTTATCTTTCTGGCACAGTACGCTAAGTAGGAGAGCAGTTCAGGCATAACGCTCTGAAAACTCTCCCACGACCAGCGACCGGTTTGGCCCTGCAAGCAGACTCAGTTCCTGGTTTTCCCTCAATTGCACGAAATTAACGAATGACACTCATCTGCATACCAATTTGGGTTTCACGGGAGACCCAAATAAATTCCTCGTTTAAGACATTCTTCAACTGAATATGTTCATCTGACCATTTGAAATTTTGAAATTTTTTACGATTCAGTCGGAATACTGATCGAAGTCAACGCTTCATTGTCAGAGATGTGTTTTCAGCGTATGTTTCCTGGAATTCCCGTGCTCACCTTCCAAAGACGTTCACGCTCCCAACGTCCTGGGANTCAAGATCTGACTAACATGCGGTATAATTTTCAATTATGGCAATACAACAAAGCGTGTTTTCATTTAGCAAAAATCACTTACCGCTCCTTGTTAAGTCTATCGTTGACCCGTGTGAAATTACGTAAAAAAAACCCACATGTAAAGACATTTCTTATATAACTAACTATTCGGATGAGTAATCACGTAGTCCCAACGGAACTTCTGTGTGACAATCCACAAAACGACGGGTTACTCTCATTTGGAATCTTTTTTATTTGCCATGCACAAGCTTGATCACTTTGGTACAGTTGACCACACATTAATGTAGTTAAGAGGAATTACAGCATAGCTTCACGAGCCAAATCATGTTTCGAGATCTGGCAACTTGCGCCTTGGTGGTGTCGCCCTCGAAACTCGACATTCGTCATTTTCAAACTATTCCAATCCCTCTGCTCGAATTTAACCTAATTTAACTTCTTGTACTTCTGCCGCTTACATATGAGAATGTCAAATTCAGAGAGAAGTTAGTTTTGTTAATTTGGTTGACGCTGGGACACGCGGTCATCTATGGCGTCGTAACCGCTTTGCGCGAATTTGTATTGAAATGGAACAAGAACCAGGCCATCGTCCACGGGACATTTCTGTGCAACCACTCTGACTTAGACTGACTGAATTACTGAGCGTACACAACCCAGCGACATACAGGCAGCGGTCTTTAGGCTTTAGGTTTGTGGACCCTAGAATAATTCGTGGTATCGTTATTTGCCGAATCTTTCTTTCGTAATTGTCCCGCTCATACCGATACGCTGCTTGACAATTGCCTCTCATCGAGGACACTTCAGCTTTACACCGTTTGTAGATAAATTTACCATGTTATTATGGAGCCAGAACAAACGGTAACCAAAGTATCGAAATTTCAGGTGATAATTTGGCCGCGAAAAAATTGTTTAGTTGAAAACGACGCAGAAGTTCCGATGAGACCATGTCAGTACTCTATTTTTAAAATGTTGAATGAGAGTGGATGTTCAACCAACAGGTATTCCAGTTGAGATTTCTTCGTGCGAATGAAGTCAACCTATGCTGATAATCCGATGAGCTGGTTTCACGTTTACTAGGAGACACAAGAAAGGCGCCTCTCACCAACCTCTAGGAGGATTTTAATCAACACCTGAGTATAGTTGAAGATTCAACCGTTTGGCCGTGAGTGACTGATGACAAGTTTGATGACTCGCAGTTTGAGAGAGTATGAGGACGAGATGGCTCAATGGTTAGATTGCGAATTTTTTGACCCGAACGTCTGTGGTTTGAACAGGACCTCTACTTCTCAACCTTTCATGTCTAGGTTGAACAACGTTGCAGTATTCCAGTCCTCGTGTTTCCTTCGAGTGGCATGGCAGCTAGACACCGAGAGGGTGTTATAGCTGAACGATTGTGATTATAGTATTTTTATGGGATATATGTTGGATGAAAATACCTCATATATATACATATATGATATACACAAGTAGCTTAGATGAACGAATAGCTAACAAGCATGCACACATTTCACCTAAAAATTCACACGCGGTCACTTCCCGTGTAACCCGTAATTGAAGGCTGCTTTGTACCATACCCTTTCTGAATGCAACTATTCACACCACTGACCAACCGCTTGTGGCTGATCGATGTAGCCTTCAGCTACACGCCGGTAAGTTGTAGATTTGAAACTCAGAAGTTTCTTGGTGTGCCGGTAATTCCAGACATGACTTTTCGCAATAACCGAGTTCAGTTATGGGAGGAAACATACGCTGAAGTTTTTTAAATCTCCATGGAATGCCGACAGACGCTAAATACAATCTTTTGTTTTCGTACCGAACTCTCATGCAGCACACTTTTCAGTGACAGATGCTAGTTGCACCGTATAATGCTAGCAATTTGAGTTGTCTTCCGAAACTCATGTTATGCATTCGGCCACCTGAAAACGCGTTTAACTTTGCCCATTTGCTTGCTTTGCTCCTTACTGAGGAGTTGTACACGTGTCTTCCTTTGTGAACAAAATAAAATAGTTGACAAACTGCCAGAAACTCACTCGAACAAGAGCCAGTAAGTGTTTGAGTCTGGCCATTTCCCTTGAGGCGCACAAACCGATCTTGTGTTGAAGATACTCTGCACCATAAGGACCTCATTGCTCGAACAAATGTCAGACCAGGATCCTTGGAATTTGCGCTGTGTATACAAACGAAGACAGACAAGTTTGGTATGCTTCTTGGGAGTCTTCAAAAGTTTCGATTGATCTGTGGACCAGGAGAGGGACCTGGAGAAGCTGGAGCTCTCAAAAGGAAGGGACACAGCGATGGCTGTTGAAATAATGCAATAAAACTCAAACAAATAAAACATGTTTCTTGACTCTGACTACAAGCTGCTCCTTTCCTATAAATAGATCTGTTAGTGCAGGTCATACACTGGATACGCGGGGCCATATTTCTTCTGGTTCGATTAATTGATTTGGTGTCATGCGAATCAAGCGACATGACTGTCATATGGACGGTCCACAAAGTGCATGGTAAACTACACTGAGTAACACTAACGACGTTTGATAAATCAATTCTCTCCAGAAAAACCTACCGAATCGTTTGAGACCACAAGTATTTAACGAAGAAGATCCGAGTCGTTCAAATCATCAGACGAACGTTGAGAGCAGTTACAGTTAGTTGATGTGGTTCTAACGCTATCGTTGCTCATCGTCATTGCAATCGCTCCTCAGTCGGTGTTGTACCCTTTCACCAAACGTGTGGGCCTTTCCTTAAATTATGAAATGCTTCATAAAAACTTGGCTCACTCGCATTGGGATACGGCAACCAACAGAAGAAGCCCAGTAAATACAGCTTCATAAGGGGTCACGGCAACCATTCACTGTCATATTTCTACAGAATTACGTAACATATCAAGAGTCGACAAACGGAAGCGATGTTATCACAAGCAACCCACCACAAGAAGCAGTTCAACAGCTTGTTTTGAGGAGACACAAAAGACCACTGATCAAGTATAGAGGGGGAAAGAACTTAGGGGACGAACGTACAACAGAAGTGGTTTTGTTCAGAAACCATTTTTGCATGCTCGTATATTCGTAATTCCGTTTTTGTTCGCGGATAACTGCGCTGGTTTTTCAGCAAATTTCCAACACCAGATGGCTACACTGCTAATAAGCAAACGGTCGAGTTGCGATTGTATCATGCCACACCCACAATTACATGGTATCAAGTAGCAGGACCGATGAACTCGCTAGTACACTTTAATAGTTCTTATTTGTCCTTACATATGCTTCAAAACCTGTTAGGACTCCTGCTAAAAACGGACAAATTAAATTGTTTTCACCGTCCTCAAGGATGCTAGGCTGCGGAACTGTGGTTGTTACCAGTGATAATTATGCGACAGATGTAGTCCATCCCGGAAGGCCAATATATCGTTCAGTTCATCCCAATTGAGAAGTATCAGGTGAACTAATCACTGCTTAGTTATTGTGTAGATCCACAACGTGGTAACTGTCAGGTCTTCGTTGAGTGTTGCAAAAATATCAGGAACAACGAAGACTATTCACTAATGGTCATATTCCTAAGTAACTGCGGTTTTATGTTGGGGCAAGGAAAAAGAGAAGTGAATAGAATTCTTGGAAGTTCAGGTGTGTTGATTAGAAGGTGATCAGATGGCAACCCAACACCCTACTGGTGATGTTTCCTCGATTAGTGCCAAAGTATCTGAAAACGAATTGACAGGCTCGGCAAACAGATACAGAGTCAATTAATTGGGAACTGTTTGAGTAGTGTTTGGGTAGTCACCGTTTCAGAGAGTTTTGGTAAACAGGAATTAATCCGTCGGTTGTTTACCGAACCACTCTGAAGTGATCACTCGTCAATTAATTGACTACACTAGGCGAATGGTGTAAGGGTAGAGATAAACATCAGCCAGTCTAGTACCCGACACATTTGCATCGTGCGTAATCACAGTCTTATGGAACACTACCACCCCGCGGAACATCAAATTATATCCTCAAGAATGCTGGATGCTCATCCAGAGTCGGCCAGCCGAAATTGTAACCTAAGATTTTTCGGCAGTTTATGTTGAAGGCGGTTCTAATATGCTACTCATACAGTCAAATATAAGCAACTGCAACAAGTTGGTTAGCAGTATCTCGATTGTGGTCACCTAAATGGAGCCTGAAAATACTACACTTTTTGCGTGTTACTGAGCGAAATATTGATAGACTAAACTTCAAAGATGAAGGTTGGAGACTTGAGGACTCGGAAAGTGTGGTGAAATTTCAGGGGTGGTCTTGAACCACCTATGGGGGGAATCAGTAGAGGAGCCGGACTGGATGTGATAGAGATGAAGGAATCAGCCGTGATTTCATTTGTTGGTGAACTCAAGAATTCAGTCCTTACCAACATACCAAAAGAACTACCGAGCTTCTTCAACCAAGAAGAATCCCTTAATTAGATAGCCGATTTCAAGGGACACTGTGGGAGCCGAAAGAAAGATGATGGACGAAACAGAATCAAGTAGCCAAGTCTCATGGAGATCGTCAGGCTTATAAAAAATTATTTAGACCAATGAAGGCAGTACACGAGGTCAAACGCAAAGTTTTCAACCACATGGAGAAGTGAGCTTCTTCCGGTGAAACGAGAGTTTTCATCACATTGTCTACTCTGAAGAAGGTGCTTATCTCGAATTCGGATGAAAAGTCGCGAATTCTCTCGGAAGCCCTCCGATTTTAGGGTATCAGCGTGGTCGATAGAATGGTTATGTTTTCAGATTTTCACTTCACTTCCGACCAACCTGTTGAATTCCCCGTGACAGCACCTAAGTACTTCATCTCGCGTTCATTCCTTTGACAGTGTTTAGTTTACTAGACCTCAAGAACTTGCTAGCTCCTATCTTGTTTGCTCCGATTACCACTGGTTGGTTATCACGTTTGCTCCATATCTGGAGCAGATAGTCTGTTGTGGCCAAAACACCAACCAATAAGACTGGATCTGCAAGAGATGTGTTCGTTCTCAAAAGGCATTATTGTAACTACCGGAAACGGTCACGCCTAAGACCATAGTGTACACGCAATCGCCAATATGTACCGTAAATCCATATTACTGCTGTTGTGTAACTGCCATCGTTTTGATATGACAGGCTCGACATCCCTAATCTCGTATGAACTGGAACAGAATGAAAACTATCTTGTCTCACCACAAGGTGCGTAAATGAGGCACCCCTTGTCGAGCTGGAAAACGCAGACGACATTTTCGAAGGGGAGGAGAAGGTGCAGGTGTTTTCGGATGAACTGACCAAAGTCATCCTATCGTTTGGTATGCACTTTGCACCTACAAAGTGTAAAGTCATGTTCCTGGACGTGCAGTTACTGAACACACCACTTACAATCCAGGGAGAGGTACTGAAAATTGTGGAGCGTTTTACGTATCTTGGAAGTTGTATTAGTTCTGATTGTAGTGTGAGAGATGAGGTGAATGCACGAATCTGCAAGGCTCGGGTCGCATTTGCGAATCTGAGAACCTATGGCGTCAGAGTAGTTTATCCCTGAATGATTGTGGTAAGCTAGCACTAAGTCCCTTCCCCGTCCACCTTTACTTTTTTCTTTAAAATAAGGCTTTCAAATAAATCATGGCTGTACAGCAGTGAAGCATCGGCGTTGAACACTGAAATCATACTGTCGATGATAATGAAAGGAATCCTTGATGTCCGGCTATAGAGAGACAGAAGACGACACCACGACTGAGTTTGCTGGTTAGAGCTTTCGTTACTACGTCATAAGTTGTCCACCCACTGGTAATTTTCTGGACAAGAATGGCTCCGTCCGTCAGAGTGCACTCTCATATAGGAAGTCCTGATAAGCTTGTCCATCTCGGGGACGCGCTCGTGAAGGCATTCAAGCTGGTCGAACATGAAGATGATTAGTTTTGTACGGTTATTAAGGCTTACGAGTTACCAAGTCGCCACAAACTCGCAACGGTTCAGGCCTAGTGAGCATGCGCCTCTCATTCTGAATTACCACCGTAATTGCTGGAGGGCCGCTGAATAAATCTCTTACACATAGTTCCGCTCAGTCTTGCAGAACCCCCCACCCTGTTCTAGATGCTCTACAGAAACCTAAGAGGTAACTGTTTTGGCTTGCGATCCATTTGTTCTGGTTACTGATGAAAGGAATTTTTCGGAGGTTCTCGGTAATGTTCATCGCCAAGATGTTTTTCGCTTGTGTCCTCAAAACTAATATAAGATCAGCTTTTTCATCAGAAGCTCCCTTTTGCGCCGTCGGGTCAGCTGGATCACTTGATTATCGATCGGTTTCGAACCAAACTCTAGCCTGATTGGCTAATCAATGTGGATGGCTCGTCTCATTAGGCAAGCCATCGCTTGTGGTTAAACTACCTGTTCTCTCAAATAGATTTAGCAGCCATCATTTGACGTCTTAGTGATTTCTCACTACCTAGTATCAAATGGACTTTCAGAAATTAGCGGATTGGCCAGCTACACCAATCACAAGGCACAATAAACGTTTGAAGGTAAGTTTGCCACTCTTGTTCTCATTTGTTGGCGGTTGCTTCAAGTGGTGCTTTATTTTGCAACAAACGGGAGTGTTGTGCACTTATCCTGGTCGTGTACACCTACTGGATATTTTTGCCTGCACCTTGTGTACGGCACGTTAAAATGACTATATCCTGACCTTTAAGCCAGACCAAGTTAACCTTAAACAGATGACTCAGTGGTTGGAGCACGAATTTACAGACCGGAAGGTTCGTGGTTCAAACCCAAGCTCTGCCCTTCGACTTCATATGTATAGGCTTGAGGAACCTGGCAGTATCTTAACCCACGTGCTTCCTTTGGGTGGCATGGCAGTTAGGCACCGAAAGTGTGTTACAGCTGAACGACTAGTACTACCAAGCTTACACAACACTACTCTAGTGTAATACATATTCGGTGAAATTCCCCGTGACAACAAGCAGCGACTTCATAATCGATAGTGCGTCACCTCCTGAGAGAGATGGCCCAAGTGGTTATGGCGCGAATTTACTAACCGAAATGGTCCGTGGTTCGAACCCGACCTCTGCTTCTCGACTTCCCCTGTCTAGGCTTGGGCAACCTGGCAGTATCCCAGCCCTCGTGCAACCTCTGGGTGGCAACCTCCTAGGTGGTTCCACATTGCTTCGGGTGTGCAAGGGACACTGAAGCAGCTGCTAAAAACGAAAACTATCATCATACGCGAATTTATCCGCTGTACTTTGTGACAATTGGTTGGTACTGTTTGTCCTTTCTGACACTCACAATAACTGTAAGAATTTTGCCGCAACCAAAACTTGAAGAAAGTGTGCCCAAGCAGAAAATAAGGTTTTATTCTATTCTGTTCCCTTCTGCCATGCAACACCATGGCCATATGTTCAACAATATGTGCTGTCTGGTGTCTCGACGGAACACATTACACACAAGATTGATAAAAACTCTTCAAGAGCCCAAGACCGGTTATGCTCTTTTTGGAAATCATTAAATAGGGTCCGAAAGCCTTAAAAGCCAATATATCATCATCATCCACATCAACATTGTTAACTGTAAGAACCGCGTAATTGTCGTACAGTGTTTGTAGCTGCCACAGTTTCGTTCACCGATTATTTGGGGAGGTGGGGAAGGTAGCTGCGGCATTTATCAGGCAGCGACACTCCACCTAAAATGCCCACATTCCTGTAACTTGATGCAGTTGTAAATGAACACCACTATATACAGTGGATTTGCTTCAAATAGAGACTATTCCTGGGGAATATGATGATATAACCAAACGTTTCAGTTGTCGTGAGAAAACCTTTTTAAGGATTTTTACAAGCAGTAATTTGTTGGATTATAACATCTTATTCCATAAAGCTATGTCCCCCGCTATGTACCCGTATTATATATCACGTGGCGCTCAGTATTTTTACCATTATCCGAAGCGGGTTTTGTCCAGAACTCCTGCGAATCTTTTTCGTTTAATATACTACTCAAAGGATGGTGCCGTAGGAAGGTAGCCAAATTTTCCAGTTCAGATGACATCTGGAATATCGAAGCATGTCTCACTACTAGTTATTTACTTGTGTTGCGAAATAAGCTGGTGTAAGTCGATGATTCAACTGATTCAGCTGCACCTAATCTGTCATCTATAATATTATACAACTGAACGCGCTGCACAAAAACGCTTCCTACTTCATCCAAAACAATATTCAACAGATCGAAAGATATGAGTTATGTCCTGTGAGAAGAAATACCAGTTGGTCTGTTTTAGTTTTGCGTTCCAAATTAATTCAGTGTCTAGTGACTATGAAATTGACCACATAGTTGAAGGACAAATGACGTTTCATGTTTGAAAGTCGATAATCCATGTGAGCACACCAGTTCTTATGGGGCTCTTTAGCTCGTTTATCAGTCAAGTGCTCCAGCCGACAGCCAAAGATTTATCTGACTGTATGACTTTCTTCGTATCCATTTTTTCTTGACTGGTTGTGATGGTTTCTCTTTGTACACTGGGCCACCTCTCATTTTCCCCTGAGAGAAAACCTCCTTGTGTAACCAGGTAACTACCACGGAGGTCATCATCATTGTCATCGACAGCATGACATCAGTGTTCAACACTTCACTGCCGCACTTCCGTCGTGCAATTGAAAGCCTTATTGTGAAGAAATGAATAATGCTAGAGGCGGAAAGGACTTCGTGCTTGCGCACCACAATTTTTCCGGGGTACCTAGACCCCCAGATCTCCATTCATGCATTCTGGACAGTAACTGACACTAAGAACGTCATTGTCATCGATTAGCAACCATATCTCGCAGAGCCTCCAACCAGGTGCAGTGGGAACCACGCGACATCGATCCTGGAAGCCTAGTCGCTTTCATCTCCCTCTGACAGGTCGAGGGTTAGCCACCTATCTTCTTCCGCAGCTCCCAAATTGGCATGGCACTATTTTCGGCAAATAATGGCTCCACATGCGCAGTACATGGATGATCGACGAAGCTTTTGGTGCAGGACACATTATTCAAGAAAAACCCCCGTTACACAACCGAACACGCGCTTTCTAATTGGCTCGTTGCGGATTCACCGACACCAACCCACATGAGCTACGGTCCTAAGACAAGGGTTGTTGAAAACACGGAAAGGCTAGGTCGAAGAGGTCAAATATCGTGGCCGTACAACAAAACAACCCGTACCGTAGCCTGACCCACCCACACATCCCTTCAAATTCGGAGATATAAAGCTTTGACACCATGGGTTTCTCAAATTAGCGAACGCGACCTGAATTATTCTTATCTGTCACACTTCAATCAGAACTGGTACAACTTTCAAGATACGAGAACCTGCACTACTAATGCAGCGCTAACAAATACCGCACAGTGTGTCTTTTGGTGCACCGTATGATATAGATATGCGACTATTACATTATCACTCTTGATTCAAGTTTCATTTTTGCTTAGTTGGATGGTCCATTGTCTGAAGTGAGCTAGCTATCTGTTGCTCACTTTGTCAGACTTGAAATACCGTCAGACCTGATGCAGTGGTAAGATACCCAAATTCATGAATTTCACTACCATACACTTTTGTTTTATCTAGTTTGATTGGTCTTCTGATGATTCGTCTGTCCTCAGTGGGGACGAAAATCGTGCATCGTCTCAATATGAAGGTCTTTGTGGAGAGAAGAACATGAGGAGAGTGCTGGGCAATAAAGGTGAGTACAGGTAAGAGAGGACTAGTTGGTCCACCAACCGGCAACTACTACCCCGCTGGAAAGATTTCATCTTCCATACCGCCGGGTTTCTGTGCGCAGTGGTTGCTTCTTTAGTCTCTTCACCCCTACCTCACACTTCCACCTATCTAATACGATGTGATTCGTTCGAATATTTCAATGCTAAATAGAGAAGTGTACTATAGAGGAGAATATCGGTAGCTCAGGTAGCGTAGATGGTCGTTGGCATGTTCGCTGAGCTGGGCAATTTGGTTGCAAACGTTTCATCACCAATCGAGGTGACATCATCAGTGCGTAGTTGTGCGTAGCGGTGGGTTAGTGGTTGTGTACTCTAAGTTGTCTCAGCACGTTTGACGGTGCCATACAAGCAAGAAAATAACTTCATCCCTTTGGCGTACACCACTGCAGTTTAGCCATCGTTGCGTATGCCGTCGACGGACTTCCTCGAAGGGCTCTTTTCGCACGACCACGTGAAGGGTGGAAGAGAGCCAGAGGCGGTTAAACAATGACTTGGCAGCGAAGTATGAAAGCCATTACCAGCAAACTCAGCTGCGCTGGGCATTGCCGTCTTCCTGGATGGGGACCTCGAGATAGACCACATCAATGGCTAGAGACATTGTCAGATATGGCCCAGTCGCGCCCTCAATGGCGCTCGTGCATCCAAGCTATTGCCTTCAATGCATAGCTCCTTTTCCAACCCCCTTCACTTGACAGCCCACTGACAGTGCTGGATTTATGCATCAATTTATCAGCTCTCGCCTGCAATGCACATCTACCTAACCCTCCCCCCAAATCATGGGTGAACGAAACTGCGGCAGCTGCAACCACTGTACGACGAGTACGCGGTTATTACAGCTGACGATGATGATGATAACTGCAGTTTAAATACTGCACCTTTTGTCCTGATACGACTATTCTGCTTTCTACACACCAAAAGAAGGAGCTCTAAACAAAGGCTTTGCTCCTTTTAAACCTCATCAACCGTAAGTGTCTTTTGCCGACATATGAACTTCAGATGCCTACCAAGGTGTGAGCATTTTTCCTTATTATATTAGTACTCTATTAGTACTTTATTTCGTATTACCACTGGAACAGGTAAACAAAGTCATCTTACGTGGCTCATATGGTTAGCGTAATGGTTCCTCTGTGCGTCGGAAGACCTGAATTATGTGGTCGCGCTGCCAGTTCCTCTATACTAACGGTAAAAATGAACCATGATGCTTCCTACTTTTGGTGTAAATAAATCTGAACGAATTGCTCACGTACTGGCACCTATCTAAGCGCCTAGATGCCATGCGAATTTGCCAAATCTACTGTTCGTTTCCCATTACTATCACACTGCAACTTCAGATCTGATTAGCGATGGATTTTCACTGTCCATAGCCAAATATATGGAAACACTAACATCTCACCCGCTTGAAAAATATTCGTCTGAGCACACAACTGATGATTTGATGGGCTGACTCGAGACTATCCAAGGCCAGTCCCAAAATATATTGGACTCCGGGTCAGTTCAAGAGAATCTGATAAAATTTGGTCATCTCTATTATGTAGTGGATGTGCTAAATAAGTTAAGTATTTATTCTATAATCTGACCTGGAACCAGACTGCTGTTCACCGCACCATGGGAAGAGGACATAAACCAAACCGTCGCACCGCGCGCAATGGAGCAGGTATACAAAATATTGTTCAAAGTAGCCTTCAGTGGAAAGAATACATGAGCACTTTCACGGTACCACAGTCTTCATTCCTGGTTCTGCCTAGTTCGCAGCAACGTATCATAGGACATACTGATTCTATGAAGCATAGCTGAATCACACTTGGCCTCGAGGTGTCATGTTGCTAAATTTCAAACCCCCAGTTTTTCATTTTGGTGACCGACGGTATTGAATCAACCGGCGATCGGGTGATCAACGACGTGGTTTCGTTTCGTTCATTGTTTGGAAACCAGAAGGATCTGGTGCATTTTGCGCCCAAAACTAACGGCGGTAATGGAGTTATTCAAAGTAGTTGAGTGGACTCGAGAAATACACTCATTTGTAAAGCAATTTGGTTTTCACGGGAGACTCAAACGAATCTCTCGTTTATGATATTCTACAACTGAATGTGCTGCACACAGGCCGCCTCATGATTCAGTTGGCACGATATTCGAGATATCGCAGTATATTTTCATAAAGGGAACTACTCACAAGGTTTCTGAGATCTCTTCGACTGTTTAACTGGTCTCTAGCTAGTTTCCACTAATTTCCACTGATTGCTCGCGGTTAAGGCACGATGGACTCCTAACTGCTTCTCTTCTGTCAGCGGCAGTCCACAGATCTTGCTTCTATAATGTAGAACGTTTTTGCTCACTGTAGAAAATATCGTCTTGCGCGCAAACCCTACGGAGAATCAAAATGCCAAGGCTGAAAAATTGGGGGATCTTCATGCTCCAGATGTCCAGAAAATCTTTGGATTGGAATCCTTAATCGCCGAGTGTTCACCGACACGTCAGTTTCAATGCCCCGAGGCAGAAAGTAGCCCAATACTGTCGTCTGACAAGGTATGTTTTACCTTTATTTACTCACTTCGTCTGACGATAACTATAAGCCATTTCAAAGATGAAGAGCAATCTGACAATAGCAGGCGACGGGATATACTTGTCTAGAGATTAAACACCATTTGAATTCGGTCAAGTAGACTGAACTGTCGACAGATTAGTGGCAACTTAGAAACATGAGGAAAGACAGGTTGGTCTTGAAGCCTTCTTAAGTAACGTTTAGGGTAAACTCTGAATTATTCGCCGATCTTTCTGGATGGGAAGTCAGAAAACTCCGGAACATGTGAATCCCATGGAGTAAGGTCAACATTGATTGTAGAAAACTAGCCTTATGAATGGAATACCCCTGGCAGACAGTTACTGCAGTAAGTCATAGTCAAGTTTTAACCGCTCAAAAGGCCAACACTGAAAAGACCGATTTTCCAGTCATGCATAAGCTAATTCAACAGTCCGTGTATTTCTAAACTTACTGGCTCGTGCACAGAAGTATCATACGGATCGATAAACCCTCTGATTCTACCAGTGAACGGGTGGATAAGCACCGCCATGTTGGAGTTGTAACACCCAGCTTTCCTATTTGACGCATGTTTAGTCCAAATAGACTTTTAAACCGGTCACAGAGTTTGTTAGGCTGTCATCAGTCTTCAAACTCTCAAGTAGCTGGCAAAAATTTGGCAGATTTTTCATGCTGTCGCCAAGGCAGTTGTAGCAACTAACCCTTTAGGTGCAAATAGAGGTAGATTATCGATTGGTTTGTGGCAGCTGACAGGCACACAATGGGGGAGTTCCAGTACGTTAATGATGTCAGTATCTCAAATGACTGTGCAGCACCGATGGGCGTAGGATTAGTACGCTCTGCCCTGATGGGACCCGTATCAATTTAAAACGAGAAAAATACTCGTTTGACTGGATATATCTTGATAATTATTTCTCTAGGACCCGATAGACAGACCCTACGAACACCTCTAACAAAAGTAAGGTCGATTCACACTTGTTCGCTGAATCTGTTCATGGACTCACGTGTCTATGTAGAACCTGAGAACTACTTGAGCAGCAAAGAGGCTTCATATTCGTAGATGAGTGGGTTGGTCCGCAGCGATCGTTCAAGAGGAAGTTGCGAGGTACCACGTAAACGTAGACCTACACATGGTATAAAATGTTTGGTAAGTGTAGCACCAATTTTCGCTCCTTTTGCTTGGCTATATAGGGTCACATGGTATAGATTTTTCACAGACATAAGGGGGGAATCCCATTCCAGACAGATCCTAACGAAAGTTGTAAAGTATAGTTGCAGTAGAAGAGTTTTGAACGTGGACACTCAAGTGTATAAGTACTTCGTATTTGGATGCCGAATCGAAAGTCAAGCTAAGGCTTCACTGCGAACACGTGATCGTCCATAGTTTTTCAGAGGTCACACTCACTGTCACACAATTCCAGCTTACCCAGATGGAGATCATCAGGCGAACATTAAGTCTATTGCTATTGCAACAATCTCCAGGTTTTAGATGCCTCTGAAGAGACACCACTCAAAAAGGACAGAAGCAACACTATACCCATTTTGTTATAGGTTAGGTTGCGCTTTCTTCCAGCCCTGCTAAAGCAGTTAACTTCCGTCTTCCCATTGCTAACTACTCTTATGTTGGGCAAAACCTAAAAATAGATGTGTGGTTTTTGTTTTGAAGAAAAGCATGGAGGTGAATTTTAGTCTAAGCCGTCCAGTTTCAAGTGCAGCTTTTTATTCCGAGTCCGCTAGCGATCATTGCACTCTTTTCCCAATGCACCAAGTCTAATGTAGGTGGATGTAGGTCATCGGTCATCCAGATTCTCTCTCCAAATTCCCTCTCGATTCTCGTCCATCATTCTCGATATAACTCTAAATAAGATGTTAATATCAAGATTCAATCTCTTCGTTGTCGTCTTTTGATGTGGCCCCAAACGAAATAGCTGAGAAAACAATTCTCTCTGCTTATCGTTAACCTGTTCATTATTTTCATTCCCTCAATTCTGATTTCGCTTTCCAGAATCTTCACACCTTCAGAAGATGCCATTCCAGCTGCACGCTTGATCTGTCTTGGCCAGCAGTCGAAGTTGACCAGTTAGCCAAAATGCTCACCACCGCCGCATCTCTTAACAGCATATCAAGCTCTGTGGACAAAGATGTGGATGAGCTAGCGGAAAATGATCCGGTCTCTCAACCCACACTTCAAATGATGTACACCTCTTCAAGTTCATCTTCGGGGTCCTTCTGTTCGGATGAGGAAAGCAAACACCCAATCCAGAATGAAGCTGATGCGAAAAGCGTCAAGCATGAAGAACTCGATTACAAAACAACTGATTCTCTTAAGAAAGATAGGAAAAATCATAGGGATTCCATTCAAAAGAAACCCAGATATTATCGAACTGCACGAAATCTCTTGGTTCTCGATTGTCGCTATCCATATGAATATCATGGTGGACATATTCAGGGTGCAGTCAACATAACCGACTGGCCAAGATTGAGAAGATTCTTGTTTGGCTCGGATACCCACACTTTGAATGTATCAGAGAGGCTCCCGAAAGCGAGTCGGACTACGTTCGTTCTACATTGTGAATTCTCCTCACAAAGAGCTCCAAAGCTTTTTAATCTCTTGCGTAACCATGATCGTTCGCTTCATCTGAACTTCTATCCTGCCCTCAGATATCCGAAGGTGTACGTTCTCCGGGGTGGTTATGCCGCATTCTACCGCTCTCATCCAGAATTATGTACACCCCCTGGTTATTTGAAGATGCATAGTAGGCCGGATTTATTAACTAAGTGGCAAAAACACTGCCAAGCTGTCAACCAAAAGCATCAATGGACTTCGAAATTCTACGCGAACAGTCTTCCACCAATACTGGCCCTGTATGATTATTCGACTGGATGAATGTGCTATTCAAGTGAGTGCAATCAATGTGTGATTACGGAGTGATCTCTTCGACATAAGGACACATAACCTTGTCGAGCCCACTGTGATAAATATTTTGCTTTCTTGCCATTCGATTCCTAGGATTTGCCTTTCTTTTATTTTCATAATCTGTGAGTTTACTCAAGTTTTCTCCATTTTGGAATGCAAATTTGACTGATCTCTTCAGAATTACATTTCACTAAATCATCCATTCGATGCTTCCTAGATCAATTGTGTGTAGGAAACCCAATGAATTACTTATAACCTTCACTTTGGTCACGTGAAGTGTAATTCCATTTCAACTACCTGTGTCTGAAGATATGTCAAAAAAGACAAAGCAGTAATTTACCCTTCTAAACCATTTACACTGAAATTTCTGTTGAAACTCTGTGAAGTAATTCATTTATTTTGCTTTTTACCTGCCTGTACTCAAAAATGTCAATAATACACAGCCTTGGCTTATTAAAGTATGATTTGTTCGGTAACCGCAAGAACTTGTAGGGATGGATTGAGCAGTTCAAATCTAGCGATGCCTCATGCACCGTAAGATAAGAAGGTAGAATAATGCTACGAAATGCTACCTAGGAGGACAGCGTTTGAAATAAGGTGTTGGGATGCAAGTTTGTGATGCAGCTGAATGGTATATCACGAGGAATCAAGTGAAATAAAGGATAACAAAATAAACACACGCCTGTGGACGAGACTGAAGAAAACAGTAGGCATTTTTAGCCTCGTTTTGAACAGAGAAAGTTTGGATATTAAAAGCAACCAATGTTACTTAAAATAATAGCCCATGGATATTTTAAGGCAGAAGTTCTGAGGGGAACAAAACCGTAAAAACTAAATGTAAGTAGGCACAAACAAGTTTTTAGTACTTCAGTACTCAAATAGTACTTCAAATAGTGACCACAATTTCAGGTTGTCTCATGGAGAGCTGATAACAGATGTAAAATTCGCTGTTTCATCGTGATCCTCAGCACTGACGGCAACTTCAGAGAACATTGGTACTTCAGTGACGTACAACCACGTTAGTTAATTTAAATGGTCTTACAGTGTAAAGAAGAAACAATGAAACAGAGGTGAAACTACGGGTAACCTGCCAGAAACATGCCGGAAGCAGTGACTACTATGCAGTTAATCCACTCGTCATATATATATCAACAACATCTCGCCACAGAGACGGATGGCTGAGGCGGTCGAAATTGCCAAGCATCATGATGCAAATGCTAAGGAAGCCGTAGAACTGACAGACGTGTGGAGAATGGATATAGATAAGCCGAGCTGACGAGCAGTAAAATGAAGATGATCGGAAGTCACTTAGATTTGAAGTTCTCAAACCAAGCTGGTCAAACATTCCATCTAATCTCACCCTCCAGCCAACCAAACTGTCATAGACTTACAAGCAGGCCACCAGAAATTACCGGTAATTTGATCAAGCGTTTACTTTCAAGCTCAGGTGCCTGACGAGACTGCTGAGTTCAGGAGTCAATGAAGTACCTCATAGTCAATAGCACAGTGGAATTCCTTCACACACTGTGCAGCACATAGACTACTTCGAAGTTCTGTTTAAAAAGTATTAAGCGAAGTTTCTTTTGTTGCCGTTGTACCTCGAGGCACTTGGAATGCTATACATCTTGCGGGCGAATATCAGTGGCCATTTACCTAAAAGGATTCCATCGAGTTCCAGCCTCTCATCATGCACATGAACTTAACAGCTAATATCTTCGTAAAATAAATTCCGTTTAAACGTATCCACGTGCGACGAGTTAAAGTGAGGATATGCCCCCTGCGCGGCGATTGTTTCTTGTTCACTGCATATTCAGAAGATAGACAAATAATGAAGCAAAAAGAACAGGATTCCCAAAACCCCTAATTCACATAGCTGGTAATGGTTTTCTTGTTAGATGATGCAATGGGTCGCTAATGCTATCTTTAGTCTCTTCCCATTCTAGTGTTAGTCTTAGACCTTAACTTTTCCACACTGAATTTTGACTACTAAAATGTAATTATGGTGAGCTCATCAGTGTGAATTAACCACCGTCTAGCGTCATCTCCGGTGCAGTGATTCCGTGAGGATGGACATTACAGCGCGGAGTATCCGAATTGGGCACATTGTATTGAACCTTATTGTGCTCACCAGAGGACTTAAAACTCAAATACTACTTTTTCCCAAATATGCGTGTAAAACCAAAATAATTGGCACATAGTAAAAGATTATTATTTCTACATACATGAGTATCTAAAGGATTTGTGCACGACTATCGGCAGAAGAGTATGAAGATAAGATAAAACCTTCCAGTGACAAGCCTGGGAGACACTCGAATTTTAGAGAATAAATGAAATTCATGTGGCGTGCCACTATCCGATTAGTCTTGCGCCGTGAAATGACACTAAACTGACGCGAGAATATATCCGCATCTTGCAGCAAAGCTAAAATAACCCACAGTGAGGTTTAAGCAGCAACATTTACAGTTTGACAAGTTAAGGTGAACCCGAACATGGATACCGGTTTCAGAATGTGTGTCAAACGTTTTCAACTAACTACCCGAGGCGTTAAATAGCAGCAGCTAGCATCCACATGATTGACTGATTCGAGGGCCTCCAGACTATGACGTGATGGGGAAATCCGGCCACTAGATTTGTTGTTTCTAGATATCAGAGCGCAATTAGTTCACTATTGCCCTGCAAGACAGTAGACACCCTGAGCGAAACAGTAAGAGGTTCAAGTATGGAACTTGGAACTAGATCAGCCCATAAAGAGCACTGAAACTTCGATCACATGAGACGCTGTAGAACGAGAGATACCAGAACGTTTTTTTCTATTCACAGACTATCTGAATTATATCGAAACTTGCTATAACATTACATTCTAGTTGTGTCACGTTCAGCCCTCTCTATACGGAGTTTTCATCCTCTTGTTATTAGTCCCCATGAGTTGGCTGTACTTCGCTTCCTTTCGTCACAATGATGTGGCGAAAAAGCTGTTTATTTTCCTACATACGTTCCAATTATTCAAATTCCGTTAGTCCTGTTTTGCCTTCACAGTTTGCCCGGTTACCTTTAAGATCACGCTAGATAAAAAAAGATGAATCCCGTAAACGTATCATGCCTACCGCTGCTTGTGGCTTGTGACTGGCTTATGTATTCTTGGTAATATAAATGTAGTCCCGGAAGTGAGTATATAAACCAGCTATGTAGAATGGTGTACTCATTGTGGTAAAACCAATTCAAAAATACGGAACGATACGGAATGGACCGGTGTTATTTCGAGAGTTTTGCGTTCAGCAACCTGAGTGTTATCAAGTTTGCCCATACGTCGCTGGAGAAGTTCTACTGCATTCCAGGCTCACACAACTTTGAAAAAAACTTGCAGTGTAAAAAAACTCCATGTTACTGAAAACGTATTCCCCTGTGAATGGTCTTCCTAGGGATTACGCGTGCTTCTTCTGTATTAAGTGTTACGCATATTTGCAACTCCAGGAATTTTCAAGGCTCATGTTCACCACAGTAATTAAGTAGAAGTGGCGTGCATGTGCAGTTGCAGTTGGGAGATGGCACTGCTGGATGTCAACCAGTTAAAAATGCTGACAAACTTCCTGTCAGAATTTTTTGGGGAATCTGACCGTCTTCATAATTCAAAATATGATACACATTTGAAGAGACTAAGAAGCATCATGGGCCCCTTCAGCTGTAATATTATTTTGCCTTTGCCGAAGTTGCATAAATCAGTCATGGTAAACGGCTCTTCTTCACAGGACGCATAGCCACCTGGTCCGAGTCACGTGTAGACCACACCGCGTGCCGCTGCGCCTTAGCATTTGTGAATCGATAACCGCATTTAAACCACGTACCACGGATATGTCACAGACGCATGAAAAGTAAATTGTTAGCCAACGCAAACACAGTATACCTATGCAGACAGAAACCCAAAGTCCGGAAATCTGGGAAAGCTCGCAAGAAAAGACCAACGTCAGGGAATGAGCAGCTACCGTCTGATGGAGTCGAGAGGCTGGATGAGGCTCCGATATATATGTTTAGTGATGGAGAAAGGTGTAGAGCTTGCAGTCCAACTCGAGATAAATTACTGACGAGGAAACTGAACGAGTGTTTAAGTGCACATGATGCGGCAAAATCTGCAACCAATCAATCGGCATTCTCTGGATGGAGTTGGGATTTGATAAACCTGGCACTGTTTAGACCTAAAAAGGTTGGCAACGCTGGCACCGGATGCAGGACGAGGACGGAATCCAAAGTTAATAAACCATCGTTCCAGAGAAAACAAAAGTCGATGAACTCATTAGTTGTACCCTCCAGACCAGGTTTAGCACCAAGTTCTAAAATAAACCTCAACTTTAGAAACAGTGTGACAACGTTAGTTGATATTTCGTTTTGTATCTTTTATAAGCTGCATTTTAGCGCAACCACTGCACGATTCAAATGGCTTACTGGAGTTTCGAAGAGTGTTCATTCAAGGTAGGTAGCAGATTCCAAATCAGACTCTTTATGCTGCAGAATCGTATCTAGCCAAAGTAAAGTTACGGGGTGCAATGCGAACCATTCGCGTGCTTTGAAAACGAAACATAGGATGAAATCATTTGAACACCTACTATCGTACGTACGTTACTGATTAATCGATGGCGGGTTCATTCAGCCCTGAAATTCAGAAAGATGAAAGTAATGTTTTGAAACACTTAGATGGGATCGGGATCATTTGTACGCCCGAACGACCACAAGAGACTTCTCCAGCATTTGAATCTCCCAGCTATCACAAAACCTCAACGCCTACAACTCTGTACAATTTACAAAGTGTTCCTACCGTGCCCTTCGCGCAGTTAGACCCAAACCAGGTGGAAGATGATCAGGATGATGATGAAGAAGGCTCATTATGGTTTGTTGCTGGAAATTCAATTAAATGCAACAATAATCGTTTAATTGATTACGACTACGGAAAAACAAACTAGTTTGGTGAATTTTCTTTTGATTTCAATCTGCGAATTATTCATCTTACCAAATGTGTGATGCATGATATGGCGCGTAACTTGTAATTCAATGTAATTATACAATGTTTTTGACCAAGTGCATGCTAAACGAAGACAGCCCTAGACTTTTGGAGTGCCAGTGTATCTAGCTTTTTATGTAGACTCGTCAGAATAGCTGTGTCAATATGTCGAGAAGACTGTTCAAACGATGTTGATGTGAACACAAATGCAAGAGTGCGCCAATGTGTAAGACGAATGGGTAAGCCGGTTAATAAATACGGATCAATGATGTGCGCTATTCAGTCAAGATACGCGAGAAGGTCGCCAGGAGTCAGTGAGGTGAAAAATCGTACAAACCAAATTTTGCTGTTTCACTTCTCATTCACTTAGAGGATAGGTGGCTTCTTAGGTCGCTGATACCAAGATTCGCTGCATGCACAAATCCCGACGCCCTTGGACACGTACGCCAACTGCAAATCAGACAGGCGTTCAATGCAGATGGCTCAAAATCAATGACTTCAGTTGAACTAACCGGAAATTTCCAAAATGAATTTCAATCCCGATTTGATGTTCGACATTTGATTCCCTCTTGCTTGAACGATCAAAACTTTGAGGCGCAGGCACTCCCTTCCATGTCGGGCCGTATCCTAGATTTATTTTCCTGCTTGTTGCCGGGAGGCCTTTCGGACTGTCCAAATGAACTTCCAGTAGTTTACCTCGATCCGATAAGTCTTCAAAACAGGCCTAGGGTCGAATCCAGATATGTTCCATCGTTTCTTACTCTTAAGCCAAAGTTGTGGAAGCCAGTGTGGAATCCGCTAAACATGTGTTGCACGTGTTAACTTTTGGACAAAATCATGAAAACTGTTCGTTACCGACCAACCCACTGAATATCTAGAGAAGCCCCTGGAAAGGTTGAAAACGTTATTATTGGTCCAGTGGCATACGTTTCGACTCAATGAAGAAAAAACTCTGCAACATGCTTGTGTACCATGTGGTCTAGTGCTCAAGTCTGTGGTGGTAATTCTGAAGCTTCGATAACTGTTTTCGGGGCACGGATTGACAAAAGGCATTGTCCCTCAAACTCGAAGCGGTGAGTCCTTTCACCAAAATCATCATAGTTATCATCTTCAGTTATAACACCGGGTACTCGTATAGTGATTATGGCTACCACAGCTTCGCTCGTCGATTATCTGGGGAGGAGGGAGTAGGTAACAATGCACTGGAGGCGGCCGTTTATGTAATCGATGCGTCAGTACACGGGTGTTAATGCGAGCACTCGATCGGATGCGTGTCTGGGTCATGTCCGACAATGTCTACCTGTTGATTTGTCCCATCTCAGGAGACAATAATGGCCAGCCCATCTGAGTTTGCAGGCGACGGCTTTTATACTTCGTTGCCAAGTGCTCGCTTAACCTCGTTTCCGTCTCTATGGTGGTTGTGCAAAAAAAGTTTTTTTTTTTTGAAGTCGACTGACAGACGTACGGAGAACGTAGCCAAGCCAGGTTAACCTATGTAGTGTTGCCAGTTCACAAGCCAGCATTCTGACTCATATACCAGTATGGAACGCAGTTCGACATTGTAAACTCGACCGTTGAAAGAGAGCTGATGTCACGCCTATGTTACAGGTGTTGCTGGTCTGGCCTTCCCAACCCGGCTGACAATGCGGACGTTGGCTACGCAAATGTGACTGACACAGCTGCCCGGGTCGACTAATTCGTCTACCAACACATCAGCTAATTCGAAAGCATGTGGTTGGGGATTTGCTCTCACTCAGTCTTGTAGAGGTGCCCTTTTTGAAGGTGTGTTTTCATGTCAAACCGCGAGACAGAATTAATTAGGCTGTTCACCATCGTCTGCATTACAATGGCATCAGAACCAGGAAGGGCTAAGTTAAGGACGACCAGGATTTTGTTGATGGACGCAGTTCGGTTTTCCAGAACCTGCCGGATGGTGAAATGCTTAACGATGCATCCTCTTTCAAGATACAAGCCAGACTACATTTATCAGGTTTGCCTCCATCTGTGTTCAGTTAGCCTTCAAAAGATGAGACCACACAGAGCCTTCGATGCCAAAGTTACAAGGCTAATGCCGGGGTGATATTCACAGTGTTCTCCTATTCGTTTTGAAGACAAGAAATACCATCGATGAACCAAATTTCTTGGGTAATAAAAGTACCAAACACTGTAATACAGCGCTCTACAATCCGGTTGCAAGCTAGAGAACTGATAGACCAAGTTGTGATTTTAAAGTAGCTCATACGAACAGTCTAGAGCCCAATTGAGTTGGGGGTAGATTCATTGACCTCGACAAATTGCCGAAATATCCCACACCGTGCAATGACTAAAAAAGCACCCTTGTACGCCCCAGGGGAACAGAAGAACGACAAAGAAGTAGGAGGAAAATTGACTTTGATACGAAATGGACGGCACGCCAGTACATTCGTTGTGGGCTGTTGTGTTGGAACTGTTAGGACCGCGAGAACAAACAATACTTGGTTTTTTTCACGGAATGCAATCTTTCTATGGCCATTTGTGCAAGGGATGCGGGTGTTAGATCAACATCAGGGTTTTGCACGGCTATGTAAATAATGGCAAGCGATTGAGTCGCGTTTTGTTGTCTGAGTGTTAGGGAGCCTTCCAAAGCCCCTGATGATAGAGGATAAGCTTTAGATTTCCTTAAGTACCAAATTAAATAGAACGCACTTTTGAAGTCACCTGCGAATGGGACAGGATTTTCGCCGCGTTTTGACTTCAGTAGCATTTTTTGTAAAAAGACATTCCTGGCATCGATGTCATTCTAATTACATGGAAAGATTTGATTGGGCTGGAGGACAACCAGAGCTTGTGGCTAGCCGCGCATCCCAGTTGACTTTTGTGCTGTCGGGTTGTACTTGGGGAAAATTTTTTTAAGAATTAATATCGCATTTGTCCGGCGACAATGGGATGCCGTAGATTATACCAACAAGCAACTAATTCCACCACCTACGACGGTGAGCAAAGAAAAACCTATCGGTGGAAGGAAGAAGGCCTTCGCTGTGGGGTTGTCTATTAGAAAACGCCAACTGAACAGTTACAGACTATTGGACAGGGAAGCATAACTCTCATATGCACCTTGTTTACACAAACTGAATATCCATCTTCTCCTTGGAAGCGTCTTTCCGAACTTTCCTAGACATCCATTGACGGTAACTCAAATGCAAGCAAATGGTACAAAGCGACTCCACGAGTTCCGCAACAGATCTCACTTTTCAAGAGACGCGAAGGTGGAAACACGCTACTCGCATGCCCCGTCAGTAGTATCCACCTCCATGTCGGTAGATAATAACGGATTACCTGAAGACTGTAGAGAAGGGCAGAGATGTGACTGGGAGAGCTCCCGTGCCAAATGGTTCGTATATCTCGACGGGTCTTTTTTGTTGGCATCATCTTAGGGTGTAAGCTAAGACTGTGTCAGGAATATTAGGCATGGGCGTGGGATGCAGGAGCATTTATTATGGTGTGGTCGTTTGAGTTACTGACGCACCTCAAACACATTTCACTGAAAGGTCCCTCGGGGGCTCAGGGTACTGAAGGTGTACAATCAGGAAAGGTCTGAGGGGACATCCATCAGATGGTGTGGCATAGTTGAGAGTGACGGAAACCCGGTGGAGGCTCGATTACCGGATATTGGGGGGTTGGTGAGCTTAGAGTATATGCGTACAGCCTTATGGAATTTGGCTCTGGGCAGGTACAGTGATGGAGACAGGCAGTAAATTAAGGACTGGGTCACTGGAGGAGTCGGGGTCATCGTCTGAGTGAGAACTGGTACTGAGGAGAGTGGTTGAGACCAGCGGGTTTTGTTTGTTGTTTCTTCCTTAGGTGGAACGGTGAACAACTTCTGGGTGTCGAAGTATATTTTCATAAAGGAAACTACTCACAAGGTTGCTGAAAACTCTTCGACCGGTTTCGCCCTTCCACTTCGGGCTCATCAGGTAGGCGCAGTCCCCGAGTTTCCGTCAACATTATCATCTACTTGAACCCAAATTGCACTGTTTTCGAGAAATACACTCATCTGCAAATCAATTTGGTTTTCACGGGAGACTCAATTGAATCTCTCGTTTATGATGTCCTCCAGCTGAATCTGCTGCACACAGGCCGCCTCATGATTCAGTTGGCACGATATTCAAGAGATCGCAGTATAATTTCATAAAGGAAACTACTCACAAGGTTGCTGAAAACTCTTCGACCGGTTTCGCCCTTCCACTTCGGGCTCATCAGGTAGGCGCAGTCCCCGAGTTTCCGTCAACATTATCATCTACTTGAACCCAAATTGCACTGTTTTCGAGAAATACACTCATCTGCAAATCAATTTGGTTTTCACGGGAGACTCAATTGAATCTCTCGTTTATGATGTCCTCCAGCTGAATCTGGGTGCATTTGTCTCGTTTTCTTAAAACCGCGACAAATCCGCCCAAGAAGGCTGGAAGATTTTCGAGGACATTTTTGAAAGCAGGTCGATGCTAAATCGTTGTAGTGGGAAAATAGGATTATACTGCCAAGAATATCATAGTGAAGTGGACCGAAACAAATTTGGTTTGGAGCTTCAGAGTTGGCTACATTGCTGCCATCCGATGGTACGAATTCACTGATATGTGAATCTGTATACGGGTAGCGCCCCTTCTGACCCCATGTCCAACCCAATGCTTCAATGACATTGCAATCTGACACGAGCCAGATGGCATGGTTAGGTTGTTTGGATTACTTACTGTTTTATTTGTCACAAGCAATTAGAAACCTCGGTTCCAGCACCTTGGTGAGGACTATCAATTATATTACATCCTTCGGATTTCTATTGCAGAAAAAATATGAACACTGACTTTTCACAATTTGCGTTCTCAATAAAGGGGTGCTGATCTTGCACTTTGATTGGTTCACTAGAGAAAATAGATTTTTAAAGTAATGGAGAAGCCCATGCGTCACTTACATTTTGTTCAAAACAAA